CTAACTCCAAACTAACCCTTACCCTAAATTAATTAAAAACAAAAAACACGTGACTGGACACGGCTTTAGACGTTCCCGCTTTATAGGCAAGCCCCGATCAACTAGTGTAATCTATATTATAAAAATTTAGATGTTCAATCCGTCTTGCACCACGTGATTATTGTACCATACTACCCGTTGTTCAATAACTGGTCGAAACATCTAATCCATACATAAGGCTCGATTTTACAATTAGTGTATTTCTTCAGTGTAGTTATAGATCATAAAAAAAAAAAAAAAAAAAAAAAATTATTTATATCATAACGAATAAAATTTGAAATTGAATATGCGAAGATGCTATTTGAATTGGTGTGGCACATAGCGATAGGCCGAACCAAGATAAAAAAGAAAATAAAATATATAGAACCTTTTATTAGGAGGTAAAAGTTGCAGATATTGCAGATCAGCACATACATTAACGTTATCAAATACAATCCCCCTTTTTTATCACCCCAAAGTATTATTTTTATGTCATCCCAGCCACTATTTTTTTTTTCGCCCACTTTTTTAACCCCATAAAACCTTATATGTACTGCAATTACCCAAAAATTCTCTTTTTCTCAAGACTTCCCTCCAAAATTTCTCCTGTTATAGACTTTCTTTTCTCTTTTAATCGTAAAATAGTGCATCAGGAGTCCAGGAGATACTGTGTACTTCAGTAAATCGAATAATATGAACGAATCTCGGAGACCGTTTTCGCGTTCTCTGCCTGGCGAACATACTGCTCCAAAAAGTCTACCAGCTTCTCTTCCTACAACCCCTGTAACCTTTCAAATTCCAACTCCCTCTTTAACGGTTCCTACCACACAGCAAGCAACTGGTGTAGAAGGTAAACTTGTAAAAGCGAGAAATCGTCGAAGTCTTTCTACTTCTTCGAGCCAAAGTTTACTTAAGAAAAGCTTATCAATCAAACCACGGGCTTTATCGAATCTTTATCCTCCAAATTTACTCTCGACTATCGAGGGCGATGCAAATAACAGATCGTCTTTTGAAGACTTCGACTTTTCGACTTCTGGCCTTCCCTTTACCGGAACTACCTCTGGTTCAAATTCCAGTAGTAGTTCCTCTAACTCTCCATATTTGACTTCTTTTCCTTTTTATCAAAGAGAAAGACACCACTCTTTATTTGTACTATCTCACCCACAACAGCAACAACAGCAAAAATCGTCAACGCCACTACTACAACAAAATGTGCCACTTGTTCCTTCTTCTACCCAATCAAGTACTGCTACGTCGTCTCAACAAAAATTGACTCATCAACCGATCCAACGTCGTCAGAGTGGTGCTAGCTCTCAACTTAAACGATTATTGAGTTTAAAATCGGAAAGTTATCCTTCGAATACTCCTTCCCTATATTCTGATTCTGAGACTGACTCTCTGGAAACTGATTCTGATGCCTATATCACAAATGATGAACAATCTGCATATGTTCTTTCTTCTTCTGTAAAACGAAAACCTTCATTTCAAAAAAGATTTTTTCCTGATTTATCGATTGATGCTGAACAAAATCGTCTTAGTAATTTGCATATTATTGATGATGGTTCTCCAGAATTTACCTTTCCAAAAGTTAAACGAAAACTTCTAAAAGATTTGGAAGAGGCAAAAAGTCGTGCTGATAAAAGAATTATGGTGATTTTGGATAATTGGTATAAGTCTCACCAATATCAAGAACTTTTAAGCGAGTTTTTATATGATGGCTGGAGTGATGATGATGATGTACAAAATATTCCAATCAATATTCAAAAAAGTAGTAGTCAGAGAACATTAAGTAAAACGACGTCCAGTCCGGTCATTAGTGATACAGATGATGAGGCTTCTCCTTTAAATAGGCTATTACCTGAAATTAAATCAATAAAGAATGATGCGCTTTCAAAAGATAAAATCACAAATAAAGTGGAGTCTGTGTCATTATATGGTAATACGAAACCAAAAAACATTGTAAAAAAGAGTAAAAACTTTAAGAGAAGAATGGTTCATTCGAACAGTTGGCCTTCTTCAATTTTAAGTAAGCTATAAATTTACATGAGTGGTGTTGTGTGGAGAGATGGTGACAATTTGATTTTTTTTTTTCTAATGTATGAAAATCAAAAAGAATCAACGTCACTAATACATTCTCTTGTCTTTATGTGCATTAGCTTCATCTCACACACTCTTATTAACGCGCATTGATCGTATTGCTCGAACCATTCTAAAGACTGCTGTTCATGATTTATTACATCTCAACGTTGCTGTTGAGATAATGAAAGAACTTCAGGAATTAATGGAATCACAACGAAAGATGGCTGTTGGTAATGCTGATGCCGAAGACTTGTTAACGAAATTAATTTACGTTTTCGCTGATGTTACAAGAGCTGTTGAAGCTGTGGTAATTATATCATTCAATTGTTATTTCCGTAAAGTTATTACTGCTATTATGTTATCTAAATTAATTTGGATTTAGAATTGTCCTTGGGCTGAAACGCATCAAGAATTTTCGGGTGATGGCGGAATAAATGATACGTTGACAACTGGTTCAGAGTGGTCTTCACCATTGCCGTCGCCATTGCTTCCCACGACTCCATCTTCATATTCTCCGCCTCTAATATTACATGAAAGGCGCAAGTCTTCCTTAGAAATCGATGGAAATAATAAATCAAACGCACTTTTATCACCACAACATGCGTATTCGTCTCCATTAGCTCGTCATGTTACTATGCCCCCAATAACGCCAGCTTCAAAAATTACTCTTGAACAGCGTCGTGCTTCTGCGAATGAAGCAATATTCGAAAGCCCGATAATGTACGTTCCTCCTCCTCGTTCAAGTATGGATGACAATATTATTACTTGGAACAATTTAACAAAGAAGCAGGTAGACCAGATGCTTCATGAGGAAATGAATAGGGAAATTGATTTTAGCATAAGGTTGAAGAAACAGCAAGAAGATGTGGATCCAGACTCTAGGAAAAAATCGAAAAAAGTATATATCATCTTAACATAATATCTCTTAGCATAGAATCTCTTTATTTTATATTATCAACTAATATTAATTCTTACAGTCGAAGCCAATGATGAACTTTTTCAAATCACTAAAAAATGCGTTTAATAGTCCCACATCATCGACTAGTGTATCTCCAATTGGGTCCCCAACTCGATCAATTATTCAACCGAGTCCCATTCGTAATACACATCTACCACGTCCTCAACCATCGGAAAGCCAACGATCTTACTCTTTTGATTCACAGTCGCGTCCATTGTCTGGTCGTAGTAATTCATTAATGTCAACAAAAAGTGATAATAATTTTGTTAGCGGTCATAGTGTAACCGTAACTCCAAATTTTCCAATTCCGCATGATTATATACTATGTCGTATTTGTGAGGAAATGATTCCTAGTTATGAGATAGTAGCGCATTCAGAAACATGTACTATCACTACAGAATATGCGATTAAATTACAGGAATGTGATGGTAGGCTTCGCAGGTTAATTGGGGATGTCACAAAGAGAAAGGCAGAAATTATGGTAAGATGTTAATTCTCGATATATTAATTATTTCGCATATGAACTATTTTAACGCAAGTTTCCATCATTTATTTTCCTGTATTTATCTTTAGGAAAGAAATACCCCTTACCAAGACTATTATATTATAAAAGACTCAGAAATGATGGAAGAAACTGGATTAAAGTAAGATATATATAGATATATATATTATTTTTAGCGTGTTACCATTTACTCATTTAATAAAATATCTTTATTCAGGGCAACTGAAATCAAAGAATCATTAAATCATCGAGAAGCTCTTAGAAAAATAGAAAAATATGCAACTAAATTGGGCCGTTTGGTTGATGAAATGGAAAAAAATACGATTAGAGATGAAGATATATTGACTTATGGAAAGAGATTGCTTCATGTGGTATGTTTTATTCTTGTTCTTATATCAATGTAGGTTTTCACCGATTAACCATAAATATCTTTATGAATCCTTTAGGTTGAGGAAAAGCATGAGACACTACGTTCATATTTTCAGAGATTACGGTCAATTAACACAAATTCAAATACCGGGATTGCGACTTCTACTGTTGCAGCAGCAGTAGCAGCAGCAGCCAGTATTGCTACAACATCAGCAATTGAAACTGCAGCATTGCAAATACCTCAAAAAATAGGTAGAAAACAATCAATATCGAGTCGGATATTATCGACTTCTGCATCGAATAAATCATCAACGAGCTTTTTATCAAAATCGAGCTCTTATCGTCCTAAGGATACTGTACCTTCGCATAAACGACAAGATAGTACTGGTTCTGTATCACATAATAAACCTCTTTCGGAAATTGGTATGGTTATAGTTTTTTTTTTTTTATGATCAAAAAATTTTATTCCAGCCTTCCTATAGCATCAACTACTGGCTTGAATTTATCTGTCAAGTGAATATTTCAAATATGCAAATGTATTTTTACTCATGTTCATTTATAGATTCCGATAACGCTCCGCCACCTCCACGTGGCGGAAAGAAATTGATTTCGTTATTCACTGCTGTCTTACGTGGGGGTAGTGGCCGTTCAAGCAGCATATCGAGTAAGGAAACCGTCAGCTCTTCAAATGCTGCAGTTGCTAATGGAGATAAAGTAGTAAGTATTTACGAATAAATAACAGTAATTTATTAGTATTAAAAATATTAAATGCTTATTCGTAATAGATTTCTAAGACCAAAGTTCCAAGTATACAAGATTTTGAAATTATTAAACCTATTAGTCGAGGCGCCTTTGGTAAAGTATATCTTGCAAGAAAAAAGACAACAGGCGATCTTTATGCCATAAAAATCTTAAAGAAGGTAGATATGGTGCGCAAGAATATGGTAAATCATGTACTAGCGGAAAGAAGAGTTCTTAGCCTATCAAGAACTCCATTCGTAGTTAAACTATTTTATGCGTTTCAAAGTCAGGATTACCTATATTTAGTAAGAGTCATCGATAAGTAAATTATTGAATTCCGTCATATATACGCAGAATGTATTCTGAAGGTTTTTTTTTTCTTTCAGGTAATGGAATATCTAATCGGGGGTGATTTATCGTCCCTTCTTCAGTGTTTCGAACGCTTTGAAGAGGACATGGCGCGTATGTATACAGCGGAAGTTGTATTAGCGCTCGAATATCTTCACAGCAATGGCATAACTCATAGGGACCTGAAACCTGATAACATGCTTATTACATCCGAAGGGCATATAAAACTTACTGATTTTGGTTTGTCCAGGATTTCAATTCCTGAGAAAAGTAGCCTGGCGTTCATAAAAGAAGAGCGAGAAACGAATAATGATGATAAGAAATCTTACCAAAGGACCTTAAGAACTGGTAGCGTTGATTCACGTGCCAACGTTGGAAATCCTCGTCCAGTCTCTGCTGTTTTCTCTAATGAAAATCCAAAACTTTCTGGTTATATCAATCTTGGTTTTGAACCACAGTCATCAGTAAAACAATCAAAGAAATCGAATCGTCAAAGTTCTAAAGCTCTATTAGGTACACCAGATTATCTTGCACCAGAGTTACTTCTTGGTATTGGACATGGAACTGCAGTAGACTGGTGGTCTCTTGGCGTATGTCTTTTTGAGTTTTTAGTTGGATATCCACCTTTCAATGATGATACGCCACAAGAAATCTTTAGAAACATTTTAAATCATGTTATTCAATGGCCACCGGAAGGATTTCTATCATCAGAAGCCAAAGATTTAATTTCAAGATTATTAAATCAAGATCCTGAAAAACGACCAACTGTTGAAGAGATCAAAACTCATACTTTTTTTAATGGAATTGATTGGGAACATATTCGCCAACAACCTGCTCCTTTTGTACCTAACCCTGAAGACGAACAGGACACTAGTTATTTTGAAGCGCGTAACAATCGCGCAGATATCCGTCGCCTTTCTTCTGGTAACATTGATGATATCGCTTCAGGAAAAGTGGCTACTTTTGTGGATCGTAGATCAGCCATTTTTGACGATGATATTGACTTGGCTTCACAAATTTCTGGCGGCAATGTTTCGTCTCCTATATTACAGACAGTTACAGATGAATCTGCTGAAAATTCTTCGAATTATTCACCATCATCACCACGCTACAAGTCTGATTCAACAAACAATTCACGACAGTCCTCGTTAAATTCAGCATCTCTTAAACCACCAGTTGAAGAAATACAAATTCCTATAAAGTCTGCTCAGAAGCGTAGGCCATCACTCTTAAAGATTACAGCTGGAAAGTCAAGAAAGCAGTCCATAAGCGGCGTTTATGATAATGGTTCTCAATCATCTTCAGCATCTGGTACACCTACTACTTTGACAATGACTCCATTGTCAACGTCGGCTTTGACTTCCCCTGCCTTTAATCCATCAAGGCGCTCAACACTCGTAGGATCACCAACAGCATTAGGTGATTTTGAACAAACAAATGCCTATGATCTTGAAAAATTACACATTGGAAATCAGCCAACAACTCAGGTTGAGGATGATGAATTTGATGAATTTCTTTATAAGGGTGTTTCAGTTTTAGGTGATGTTACTAGGGATGTATTATCATCCGGAAAACAATAGTGTATATAGCTTTTTTAAATAATCATTTATCTTAGTGCCAACTATGGAGCTCTATATTAGTATAGTTAAAATTTGGTATCGTGTTTGAAATGACATTTTTCTCATTGGGTTTTACTTTAAAAAATTATATATAGTGAATATACTGTGGTGGCTTTGAGTGAACTTTACAAGGGCACAGAGTAAATAACAGTAGAGGAGACAAAAAGCCGCAAGTACTTGATTATAG